CCCCCGAGTCTCTTCCAAATTCCCAATTGGAATGCCCGTCCGCTCGACGACGGTTGTGTCGTGTAAATATCCCTAGACGTTCTGTGATCATCGGCTCGATCTTGGCCAGAGAAACACCGGCCCGTGGATAATGCGAGTAACCTTCATCCGATGGACCGTTACTCTGCCCTGCCGGGCCCGCCGGCTACGTTTATCCAGGTCTCTGGGTCCCCGATCGTCGCGACACAGAGGTGAGGACGACGTCTCGACGCGAGAGATCCTCCTTCTCTGCACACCTACTCTCTTACCGCTCGGATCTCGGCGGTAAATCGCTTCCTCGAGAAGAAGAAAAAGGAGGGAGGGGGAGAGGGGTGGGAGGGAGAGAGAGACGCGAAATTCCATCGCGAATAGGGAAAATCCAAGGCGCTTCCGATTCGGTTCGAGGTCAGAATCGGCTCGAAGATGCGTGCGAAGGCTTCTCGCGTGACCGCCGCAAGTAGGCCACGTGCAAAGTAGGCCTCCTCACGAACGTACCCATCTCACCTTTTCCATCCTCCGTCTCGTTTCGATACGTACGATAAATACGTTACATTTCCGAGCGAAATACTCGAGCGGGGAATTAAGTTTTGTTAACTTAAGGATCAATGGTTAGATCGTAGAGAATCATTTCTGAACTGCATCGAACATAACCTCAATATCGAATATAGCGATTGCTCATAGACCCATACTGCACATTGGAAGATTTAATTCGTTGTTGAATTGTAAAAGTGTTATCGATTATAGTTTTCATTCACATACTTCGAGTTTCATTTCTGAAAATAAATTTGAACACTGTTCGATGTAAAGTGAGATGAAAGTAAGATACGTTGTAAATAGAGATACGATTAGAGAAATCGAGATGCAGTGTGCCAATGCTGATGATGTTTGTATAAGATTCGTAAGAAATTCGCAAGGATTTTGTATTTTGCGATCATACATTTGGTTATTCTTCATATTTTGATACGCAACATTTACGCTCGGTTATACATGATGATATATGGGTATACGACTAATGTTCCCAGTCGTGGATATTAGCTATTAGATTCGAAATGTCACGAGTAATCGTATCGACTCTGACGGCCACGGTTTCTCGAAGGAGGCCGACTCGGATCGACGACTGCCTTTCTCGGTTTCGTCACATATATCGTTACCGATCTCGTGTCACGACGCGGGATACGCGAATTCGTGCGTGGGTTCCGCGATACTGGCCGAAAC